TCCTCCTCCTTTCACGCCCCCATGATTCATTCTCCCCCTCACTCCCTGTGATAGCTTCCTCATCTCACACTTCTCCGATTCCCTCATCCCCTCACTCCCTTTCTCCCAACCCTCAATCTCTTTTCATTCTCCCACACTCCCTCTGACATTTCCCCCACACTCCACTCCCTCTGTAAATCCATCCTGTTCCCCCAGCACTCCCCTTCCATTTTCCCTCCTGTCAGATACCCCACCTCCCCCCTTCCACTCTCCCCCCAACAGCAAGCGGTGTGCACGACCCTCCAGTGCCATCTACCTGTGAGAATGCCGCTGAAATCACTTTGCCCAATTCCCCCGTCATTTCCTCAGCGAGCTCCGTCCAGATCTGCAACAGATGCAAACAACAGCACCCTTCATGTGAATCGTGGCTGATTGCTGACTTATATCGAACTCGGACAACTTAAGAATCTTCACTATCTGCAAGAGTATCACAACTTAACCTTCAAAGAAATACCATTTTGATTTTGTGCAATGTGTCTGAACAACTTCACCCTCGTGGTCACTGTATCATTTCTGTGAATCTCCACTTTTCTTCAAATCCAGTGTATACTTCCTAAAGTTTTGCTCAGAATGTGAAGATACTACAGGCTGACACAAACTGGAGCTTAATGCAAGCTTGAATTTAACATTCATCCCTTCAAAGCCCAAACTTCTCAACTGCTTACACAACAACACTGGCAAAACCCAGCATGCTCAGGAGATTGCCAATCAATCAGTCATTACTTCTACTTATCGATGGAATCTCGATGGCTCCTCCCAGGTTTATTTTTGCTTCTCCGTTATGTTAATTCTCACGCTTTGTGGTGAAGGGCAAGAACATTACAGGCAATCAGGAAAACTTGTTGAATGTTACGATTTATTATGATAGGAACTGAATGCCACAGTAGGGAGACTATGCCTCAGTGATACAGGGCAATTGTGAGATTGCTTCTGGAGTACTGTGTACAGTACTGGGTCACTATAACTTACAGGAGGATGGTAATGCATTGGCAGCAGTTCAGAGAAGGTTTACTGAAGTAATACATGGAATAAGCAGATTGCCTTATGAGAAAAGGTTAGACAGGGGAGATTACCAGCCCAGACCATCACACAAACTAACCTCCCATCCATGGACTCCATCTACACTTTCATTGCCACGGAAAAGCTACCGACAACAAAGACTCCTCCCACACCAGTAAAGCTCTCTTCCAATCTCTTCCGTCAGACAGAAAATAAAGAAACTTGAACATACAAGGTTTAAGAACAGCTTCTTCCCTGCTGTTATTACACTGCCTCTCTAACTTCAAATAATGTTGATCTTGTTTTGTACACCTCCCATGCAGTGTAACCTGTACGCCTCGCTCTGTCTAAGCATCCTGTGATCTGTATGTCTTTATTTGCTATGATCTGCCCGTACTGCTCACAAAACAAAAAGCTTTTCACTGTACTTAGGTACATGTGACTACAGTAAATCTAGTCAAGTTAAAGGTGACTGAATTGAAACAAGAGGGGCCTTGACTTGACAAGTTCTTCAACTGGGGCTGAGCAGGAAACAGGGTAGGCAGGAATGTGAATGAGGGCAGAGATGAAAGGGGGCCACTGCGAGGATAAGGAAGAGGAGGGCACTGTATGAGAGAGAATAGTTGGCTATGAAGACGATAAATAATTTCAAACCTGGTAGCAAAGGAACATTCAATTAGCCTTTAAGGAAAATAATCTGATTCGAATCAACTAAGAATCTTCGAAATCTTTGAAAAAGCTGCTACAAAGTCACCTGACTATGCAGCTTTAGGTGCGTGGCAGAGACACATAGACTCTTAAAATACATGAATTTGCAAAGAGACGAAGGAGGTGTGAGAATTCCAGCTTCAGAGAGAAACAGCAGGCAGGAGAAAGAACCTGAAAGGGCTTCTGCATAATCAGCTTTGCTCAGGGATTCCTCAAAATTAACAATGCCATTTTGAGCTTTGAATGATATATATTTTTATTAAAAGCTGGCTAACAGCTAGTGTGCAAAACTCCAAGAGGGTAGCTTTGAGGAGCATCCTCCAAGGGAGGGCAAAAAGGTCACACACACAGTTCTGTTGTAGAACTAAGTACTGAAAACACAGAATGAATGAAGATGAAAGAACCTTCTCCTGCCCAAAAATCTGCTGCCTTGCAGATTCACGTGTAGAACAAAACACCACTTATCTAACAACAGATACGATCTAAGCTGCTAAATCGGACTTGGTGTGTTAACCTCTTTGTTCCAGGAACCAGTGGTCTTGTTCTTTCCTCTTCCGAGTACTTGTTTCAAACTCAGTAAGTATCTGTTCATAACTCTGCTTCTTTATCCCTAAGGAACCTACAACTTGTTTGAATAAAGCTTTCCTATTTTAACTGGTGTCATTCAGAGTTAAAAAAAAAGCTACACAGTTCACTGATCAGATTTTTACTCATTCACGGGATGTGGGCGTCGCTTTTAGGCAGCATTTACTGCCCATCCCTATTCGCCAGAGGGCAGCTGAGAGTCAACCACATTGCTGTGGGTCTGGAGTCGCATGTGGTGGACATGCTGGTGATGTGAAGGCATTGTAGAAATGAACCTAAAATTTGCTGGATTAGACAAAATGAAATTAAGGGAGAATGAAATGAGGACAAATTGAGCACAAGAATCAGGATATCATGTTGCCGCTTAACAGAAACATAGAAGACAGGAGCAGGAGACCACCATTCGCCTCTTCAAGCCTGCTCTGCCATTCTTCACGATCATGGCTGATCGTCCAACTCAATAGCCTAATCCTGCTTTCTCCCCATAACCTTTGATCCCTTTCACTCCAAGAGCTATATCTAAATACACTCTTAAATATATTCAATGTTTTGGCATCAACAACTTCCTGTGATAATGAATTCCACAGGCTCACCATTCTTTGGGTGAAGAAATGTCTTCTCATCTCCGTCCTAAATGGTCTACCCCAAATCCTCATACTGTGACCCCTGGTCCCGGACACACCCACCATTGGGAACATCCTCCCTGCATCTACCCTGTCCAGTCCTGTTAGATTTTTATAACCCTCTATGAGACATCCTCTCATTTGTCTGAACTCCAGCGAAAACAATCCTAACCTAATCAATCTCTTCTCATATGTAAGACCCGCCATCCCCGGAATCAGCCTGGTAAACCTTCGCTGCACTCCCTCGAGAGCAAAAGCATCCTTCCTCAGAAAAGGAGACCAAAACTGCACACAACATTCAAGATGTGGTCTCACTAAGGCCCTGTATAACTGCAACAACACATCCCCGCTCCTATATTCGAAACCTCTCGCAATGAAGGCCAACATACCATTTGCGTTCTTTACCACCTGCTGCATCTGCATGCTTACCTTCAGCAACTGCTGCACAAGGACACCCAGGTCCCACTGCACACTCCCCTCTCTCAATTTACAGCCATTCAGGTAGTAATCTGCCTTCTTGTTTTTGCTTCCAAAGTGAATAACCTCACATTTATCCAAACTATACTGCATCTACCATTGAATTTCCCACTCACCCAACCTATCCAGATCATGGTGAAGGATCTCTGCATCCTCGTCACAGTTCACCCTCCCACCCAACTTGATATCATCTGCAAACTTTGAGATATTACATTTTGTTCACTGATCAAAATCATTAATATATGTTGTGAATAGCTGGGGTCCCAGCACCAATCCCTGTGGCACCATACTGTTATTGCCTGCCAATCTGTAAAGGACCCATTAATTCCTACTTTTTGTTTCATCTGTCAACCAGTTTCCTATCCATCTCAATACGATAAGACTTTGGTGTTCAATTCTGGTTGTCACATTACAAGAAGAATGCGGCGGCTTTGGAGAGGGTGCAGAAGAGGTTTACCAGAATGCTGCCTGGATTAGAGGGCATAAGCTATAAGGAGAGGCTGGACAGACTAAGGTTGTTTTCTCTGGAGCAGTGGAGGCTGAAGGGAAACTTGATAGAAGTTTTTAAAGTTATGAGATGCACAGATAGGGTTGACAGTCAGAATTTTTTTCCCTAGATTTCAAATCTCTGATACTAGGGGGCATGCATTTAGGGCAAGAGGGGGAAAGTTCAAAGGAGATGTGAGGGGGGGGGTTTTTTTTTTTTTTTTTTAAAAAACACAGAGAGTGGTAGGCGTCTGGAACACACTGCCAGGGAATGGTGGTGGAGGCAGATACGATAGGAGCATTTAAGGGACATTTAGATAAGCGCATGAAAATGCAAGGAATGGAGGGATACAGACCAATGGCAGGCAGAAGGGATTAGTTTAATTTGGCATCATGCTTGGTACAACTTTGTGGGCCAAAGGGCCCGTTCCTGTGCTGTACTGTTCCAAGTCCTAGAAGACATGAAACTTGGTGATGGGCTGATGAACTGAACAAGGGAGGGAGGATGGGGCAAGGTGGTCAGGGGCGTGAGAGAACCAGGGGGTGGAACAGAACAGGCGGGGGGACGGGACGGTGTAAAGAGAGAAAGGTGGGGGGGGGGAAAACGTGGGGGGACAGAGAAGTGGGGAGGACTGGGGAGAGATATTCAGGCAGTCAATCATGCCCCATTCTCTGTCTGTTGCAAGCTGCTGAGTCCCCCCGCCCCTCTGTCCATTCTCTTCTGATTTTCCCCTCCCCAATCTGCATCCATTCTCCTCCCCATGCCCTTTCCAACAACCATTTCATGTTCACACCTGTTCTGTTCACACACACAACACGGACCTTTGCACATCACAGAACATACTGGGCCCGGAGGTGCATGTGTGCATTCCGTGTGAATGTGTGTGCACAGTCACCTCAAAGTTTCACTGTCACCAAACAGTGCTTTGTTTATAACATACGCAGTCAATCAGATGTGATCATGTGGACAATTTATCTGCTGAAATTTGCAATGAACGTGTAACAGAGCTCAGTATCATACAACTGACTGGATGACATAAAAGTGATGACAAGTTACATTTTTGTTAAGACAAGATATGAATGTTTTTCCAAGTAGAGACAGCAAGTCTTAATGGGTTAATTAATCAAACTGACATGGAAAACATGGCGGTCATTTGAGGAGACTGGAACATGTCAAGACTGTGAATGTGCAGCATCCTGATATAGAGAAGCAGTTGGCTCGCAGTAAGAATTTAGCAAGCTCCGGGAAAGGAGTTGTTTGATCAATGATGAGAAGTTGAGACAGAGCAGGCTGATCACCTGATGATCTTCGGTCAAGAGTCAGAGTTGTACAGCATGGAAACGGACCCTTTGGTCCAAGTCTTCCACACTGACCAGATATCGAGTCCCATTTGGCCCAATATCCTTCTAAACCCTTCCTATTCATGTACCCATCCAGATACCCTTC